CTGCTCAACATTTTGTCTATTGTGCAATTCAAGGGGACGATATCCCAACCTCTGTTTAACTCTTTGTCTTCCGTTCCCAACCCTCTCCCTTTACCCCTTCTACTGTCCTGTAATAGTCCCTCAANGGATCTACGGTTGTGAGAAGCCATCCTGTGTAGCTCGCAGGGTCACTGAGGCGCGCAAGCCATTATACCACGTCAAGGTGCAGTCTCGTCGTGATGGAAACAACAATGTATATACAAAATAAAAATAATTTCATACTGCATCAGTCGTCGCGCAGGATAATCAGGACCGCGCTTCCCACTGCATCGAGCGGGGGGAGTAGTGAAAAGTGGGCTGATGCTCAGATTTATCAACCTTTCTTCAACTCTTTGTCTTCCGCTCCCAACCCTCTCCCTTTACCCCTTCTACTGTCCTGTAATAGTCCCTCAAGCAACTTGAATATCGCTCGCCAAAGGTCATTGCCAAATAGCACTGTAAGTGATTTACCACGGAGAGGATTGCAGATTCTAAAGCCTCGTCAATCACTGAATCTGAGGGCCTTCAACGTGAGGACTTTGATGCAGCTAGGTCAACAAGCTTGTCTGGCTCGTACAATGGAATCCTTAGGAATCGATATTTGCTGCGTGTCGCAAACTTGGATCCAGGATCCTACTACTCTAAGCCACTTGAGCGCGCCAGATTTTCCGACGAGATACGTTCTTTGCAAATCAGGCGACGATGAAGATCGTTCAGTAGGTCAGCGCGGGGTAGGTATTGTACTCAGTAATAGGGCGGAGTCCTCTCTTATCGACTGAATCCCCGTCAACAGTCGCTTATGTGCAGTGTCTCCAGGGTTCAATCAACGTCCGGAACGGAAGCAACACTAAAAGGTGTTTGTTCATCGTATCAGCATATGCACCAACCAATTGCAGTTCTGATACCCAAAAGGACGCTTTCTACGATGAACTCACCGATCTCATTCGGATGAGTCGAAGCTCCGACATAGTTGTACTTGCAGGTGACTTCAACGCGCAAGTTGGAAAACTGGGTGCATCAGAAGCTTGCCTAGGCGGTAGTTGTGCTCTGCCCAGTCAACGAACAGATAACGGCGATCGACTTCTTCAGTTCTGCGCAGACCATCATCTGTTCCTATCAAGCACCAACTTCTGGCACAGCTCTCGACGGACGGCAACGTGGCGCTCCAGTTCAACTGGTATGCTAACTCAAATCGACCACATGGCAGTAAGTTACCGTTGGCGTGGCTCAGTGCAAAATTGCAGGTCCTATTGGACCACCTTCGTTGAGTCTGACAAAGCATTAGTTTTGATGCAGTTCACTCTTCGGTTGACTGGTCGACGACAAAACCAACAAACTCGGATAGCTCACCATCGACTTTCTGTTCCAGCCGTTCGTGCACGCTATGAGTCACAGCTAGTACGTAAGCTAAGTGCACTTCAGCGTGGTGATATAGACAAGCAGTGGGATCAGATTAGGCGAGCAATGCATTCCGCTGCGAATGTTGCTTGTGGGTCTGAGCCTCAAGCCCATTGGAGGCATTGAATATCTGGTGAGTCTGTATCACTGAAGGATCAAATACGACAAATCCCAACCTGCCAGGATCGAAATAGAGTGGGGCGGCAGCTACAACGTAAGTTCACGAGGAGCCTCAAGAAGGACCGTGAGAACTGGTGGGCAACAATAGCTAGTGAAATGGAAATAGCAGCTGCATCAGGGAATAGTCAAAGACTGTTCCGACTGATACGCAACACGGGAGGTCGGCGAACCCCAGTTAGTGAAACAGTCTTCGATAAGAGGGAACAGGCTATTCACAATAGGGATCAACGGCTCGATCGCTGGGAAGACCACTTCAGTTGGCCTAGTGCTAACCAGGCTGCTTCATCTGCAACTGAAGCTCCGTGGGCATGCGATCCTCCAGCAGAAGCAGAAGTTCAGTCTTGCATTCAAGCTCTGAAGCGAGGATAGGCAACAGGACCGGATGAGCTCCCTTCCACTCTTTTCAAGATGGGGGGTGATAACTTGGTGAGCTCCATTACTACCCTATTGCCCAACATTTGGATGCAAGAGCACATTGCTTCATCTTGGGGCAAATCACTGATCGTTCCCGTTTTCCAGAAAGGATCTCGCAACGATTGCGAAAACCACCGCGGGATAAGTTTGATCGCGATCGTCACCAAGGTGCTAGCTTCGGTTATACTTCGACGTCTGACGCTTTTAAGAGAGACCAACATCCGTGAACAGGAAGCCGGATTCCGGCCTGGTCGTGTTCCTTGACCTGAAAAAAGCCTTCGAGACAGTTGACCGCGATGGGCTTCCTTCTTCGAAAAGGTCACTGCACTCACAGATCTCCGGTTGTGTAAGGGCTTACGACAAACTGAGTAGGCCATTCGTCACCAGCAGCGGCGTTCGGTAATTCCTATTCAATTTCGTCGTAGACGATATACTGAAGAACGCAATTACTGGACTCCAAAACGTAATGCAGTAGCCACATTCGGTATGTGCCTCGCACTTTCAAAGTGCAAAGTAATGCTGCTGTACTGGGTTTCGTCTACTCCCACTCTGACACTAAATGGCCAGAATTTATTTATGGTGGATTACTTTTCTTACCTAGGTAGTTGTGACCAATGACGGTAGTGCAGTAAAGGAGATAACCGCCAGCATTTCCAAGGCTCGAGCAGCATACGCAGGACTGACACATCTTTGGCGTAGACGCGACCTTTCACTGAAGTTGAAAGGTCGTGCACATTGTGCAAGTGTTCGTTTAGTCCTACTTTATAGTTGTGAGACCCTGAATTAGCGAGTAGAAGATATCCGTCGAATAGAAGTTTTCGATTATCGGTGTTAACCCGGTTTAGCCCACGTTGGATGGAGTGAACGGGTTAGTAATGTAGAGATAAGCCGTCGTGTTTGGGAGTTTATCAGGTATCAACCTGCTAGCACACCGAATTCGGATTAGTAGACTTCGCTGGCTAGGGCGCGTATTACGTATGTGCAGCTGTCTGCCGAACCGCGCTTTATTTACTGTATCTAATCGGGGTTGGAGAAAACCACATGGAGGTCAACAGATGAGATGGAGCCGAGGCATGAAGAAATGCACAGCGCCATTAGGTAGAGTAGGTGTCACTCGCTTTCCAGGTTGGGATCCGAAAGACTCCACAGTTGGTTATATGGAGACATTGAAGGATTTGGCAGCGAACCGGCAGCAGTGGCGTTCTTGATGTCGTTTCTCATCAGGTCAGAATGTTTGATACGGAATGCATGCAGAGTTCGAGTTTTTCATTGCACACATTTGTGCGGTGAACTGCAGACTGGGCGAAGCCTATAGTCACGAAGTCCTGCGGCTTTGTTATGGAAACCGGTAACTGCCCGGGACTTTGAGTGGGGAACCACATAAGGCCCCAATAGGTCAGGTGTGGTATTGAACCGGACGACAGCTAAGCTGCCTACCACCGAAGTTAGGTGGCGGTGGCAGGGCTCGAACGTCGGACCATAGGGTCGAAAGCTTGCCAGTGACAGCGACTAAATCACTGCGCCACCGCCATCACCCTGCTCTGTGTTTACTATACAGGTTCACCTTCGTCTCTCTACCTCAAAATGGTCGAATCGCTGTCCACCTTAGATGTCACCACTAACCTTATATGCATTTCGAGCTAGGCAGCG